CGTCAGGTCGCCATACGAGAGTCCTCTCATCGCCACGGGTCAAGGTGGCTCGACTCCGCCGTTGACACCGGTCACGGTAACGATCGCGCCATTGCTCGACGATCGACCAGAACCGCCGCCGATCGAGACGATACCGACGAAGAAGATCCAGGCGGAGAAACGGACGAGGCGCGCGGTCAAGGAGGCGCCGCAGCCGCGGGTGGAGAAGCCGCCCCTGGCGAAGCTCTACGTGAAGAACAGCGGCACTCAGCGTGGACGTCCGCTAATGAGGCAGAAGAGCGCGTCGCCGTTGAAGGAAACGCCGCCGGGTTACAAGGGCGGTTCGCCGCTCTTCAATATACGCTACAAAAGTCTGACGAATCTTCAGCAGGCGATGGAGCTCGACGGCACGCTGGACTCAAGCCACTCGGGCGGAAGAACGTCGGGAGATTCCGGCGCGGGTGCCAAATTGCCAGAAAAAAGGTACGTCGATAAATTGTCGAAATGTATTTGTTAGATTTATTAGTTAACTTTGAAGAAGCAATCTTTAATTTTTACCTCTCTTTTTGTGCAATCATATTATACACACATATAAAGGCATCTTCTTTAATTTTCTATTAAAAAAGATTAATTAAATAAAATAACATTAAGTAGAAAAAGCACAATCGAATAAATTATTTACTTTTTTTTTATTTATTGTTCATTATGTTTTGTACATTTATTGTTGATTATTAAAACGTTATTTAAAGAAGCAATGGTATATTTTTTGAAAAATTGTTTATTAATGGATTATTATTATAAATAATTATTTTTTATAACATATATATGTTAATAATATACACACATATATTATATATAATATACATATATTATTTATATTATACATACACATACAGATAAAATATTTATATGCCTTTAATTATTAGTTATCAGAATGACATGTGTTGATATTCGTGGCCAGGATTTATCATGTTTTTTTTTTATGTCATTTGGTAAAATAGATCGAGGCGTTTAAGCAGACCACGTTCGCTGACAAATTTAGTCTGGGAGCTACGAGGTGGAAGCGGTCTTGGTTGCACGAGACCGGAAACTCCGCCGCCTGTCACGATGCACCGCTGCCACCAACTAAATGTGGGCCACGTCTTGGCTGTACTGTCGTAGCACCGCGACGTGTCGGCACGCTCTACCTCTAACTCGTAAGTAGCATTTTTTTAAAATTTTCTCTTTTTAAATATTTTTAATTCTTCAAATATTATTTGAAAGGTTGTGGGACCGCCCCCATAAATACTTTTGCAAAAAAAACGTTGCGCAGGTAATTGTAAGGGATCAACTTCCGTTGCGCCTTTGAGAAAAATTGCAACTGGTGCTCCCTCCAATTGAAACATCGCGTGCGCGGCTATTTTCTGAGGGTTCTTCGTGCGAGCGATCTTCGTCTCCCGTATTTCAGCCAGATGATACTTGCCGCTCGGCGGCAAGTCTATTTGTCGAACGGGCGGACATGCACATTGTAATTAACTATGTCGATGAAAATACCGGTTACGACGTAGTTACAGTGTACTTTGTCCGGGGAAGGAGGACTGAATCGTTAAATTCGCGGGACCGATCTAGGATCGGCAGGATGATCTTTCAACGGGGCGTTTTACTAGGCATTATAAGAAACGCGCAATGCTCTCTACTTCCCTATTGCCATAAGTTCTTATTCGTTTAATCGCTCCCCCTCGCCGCTCTCGATAATCGTAACGACGTCTAGGAAATGCACCTGTCCGCGAACGATTGAGGAAGTTGTTGCGATTACTGCCAATTACAATCCACGGAGAAATTCATTCTTAAACGTAATCGTATTCGAATGCGAGACACAAAGAGTCTCGCAAAACATGTCCGAATCGAAAGACTAATTACAATTATTGTATAGTAATGTCATATAATTCCTTGTTTTTTTTCTCTGTTAAAATTATCATTGCGTTGGTACTTTTGAATGCTTTATCAAAATTACAGAGCTCGATTATATGAATCGATGTAAAAATTGTAGCTATAAAATTATCATCTACATATCGCGATTGAATAAAATCAAATTATTTTGAAAGAATACATGAAAAATATTTCTTCTAATTTATATATCATTTTTAACAAAATTATTTATTAAAGTTTTTAATTTTTTTTTATCCACGACGAGACTCAACGACGCATTACGACAGTTTACGAAGTTATAAAGCGGATATTGTCAAGCCGGTTAACGTACGATATTGTACGCGTATATCGGATGTCTCGTAGAATGAGATGCGGCAAGTATGTAATTTCCGTGGACGCGATCGTCTCGCTCATTTCTCCGTCCGCTAATCTGGCGATGATAATCGATAGCGACAGCGAGAGATTGAAAGCGTTCCTTCGTCACGGGTCTGGTTTTGCATCGTACATCGGGGCGACGACGAGGCGTTTACGGGAGAGGAAGTCAGGAATCGCACAAAGCTTCCTGCCCGCTTGCATCGGGAAATCAGTCGGAATACTAATTAGTATTCCTAAGTCGTGGAAATTAGCAAGATCCACGCGGGTTAATCTATCTAATTTCTCTTTCTCTCTCTCTCTCTCTCTCTCTCTCTCTTTCTGTCGCGGGTGCCATTTAGCGACGACTAAAAGCTTCACCTCGCGAGAGGGCGGCTCGCTTGGAAACTCGAGATCGGAGGTCGGAAAGAAAAAGGAGGAGATAGTGGAACGGTGGACAGCCTCCGGGTATATAACATCATCCGCGCTCGGTGCAGCGCTATAATAGCCCCGGTTCGCTCCGTGAGCGGAATTAAACGAGACCAGGTTCAACGGCTGGACACAAACCGTGGCTTCCGGTCCCACCGCGCGTCCTGTCCCTTCGCCCGTCCCGCCCGCTTGATCACGTATTATGAAAATTATGATTGTACACGCGATTTCATCGATCGCCGTAGAAAGCGAACGGCTTCCGATAACGCAATCGGCGACGATCGTACATCCGGTGCGGCCGGATCGTTTATAATCTAGTAGCATGACTTGCAAATAAATCAAGTATATTAATTTATTTAATAATTATATATAAAGATTGTCTCAAATTTTAATATTTTCAATATTTTCGATTGTCAACATTCGAGATCTCTTGATAAGAGTTTTAGATAAAAATTCTTATTTATATATAAAATACCCAAGAGTCCAGTTTCTCGTATATACACTAGCGCGCGTCTGCGATAATCATAATTTAACCGATTCTTTCCACTTGGTAACTGTGACTATAATTTGACAGGGAGGGAAGATTTAGTTAGAGAGCCACGATTAGCTTCAGAACGAAAGCCGAACGAAACTGGCCGGCTAAACCGGACTGCGAGCGAGATGAAAATTTATACGTGGGAAACGCGCGATGATTCCGCAACGGAAACGGGTTCGTAGAAGATTCAGGCTGCGACTCATCAGGCACTCGCGTTGCGTCTCTCATTCGGACTATTAACGTTGGAAATTCAGATCTCGCGGTGCGAATTTGCGATTTTCTCCGTAACATTAATTTCGGCACCGCCTTTCTCCGACGCGACGGCTCGCGCTTCGCGTATTCTAAATTACCCGGCCGTTCTTGTCACTTGCGGCTATCCGCAGAATCGTCGCCGCGTGCATTTTCACGTATATTTTAATGCCCGTCTACGCGCGTAAATCCGCCGCGATGCGAAATAACCAGGTGTCTTCCCGGGAGAAACAAGGGTGCTCATCGTAATCGTCTCTTGTCCGCTAATTAATTAACGCGAATCGAGAAAACACGATACTCTCTCTCTCTTTATCTCTGCACGCGCTACTCTTTCTCTTTGAGTATCTGAGACGATGGTAAAAGACGTGTCAAAGCTTCTCCGGGGTCTCCCGAGAATAAACGGCACACGTTTACGGCTACCTACGTTAAATCGCGTCATGGGAGGAGGTGGATAAGGAGGGATCATCGTTGCCGATAATTAGAAAGTAATTGCGCCGTGGTTTTTCGCATGTTCGCTCGCGTCGAGCCACGGTCCTGACATAGAGAGAGAGAGAGAGAGAGAGAAAGACAGACCATTATCTCGAAAATTGCCGGGTGCGTACCACCCTGTACACCCCTTGGAGCCCTCTCGCCTGTGCCGTCGACGACGTTGATTAATATCAACGAATTCCTCCGCGCGTTCGTATAATTATGCTCGTGGCGATATCCACGAACGGCTAACGCCCGTGCCCGTGCTTGACGTGCGACGACGCGCCGAACGTAGTATTACACGCGCGAACGAAGATTGTCGGAGACTTGGTGGATATCGCGTCTCACGGCCAAGCGATAATATTAAAGCCGATCTATATTCACCGAACGCGGTCCCTCTTTCTCTCTCCATCTCTCTCTCTCTCTCTCTACCGTTCGTCTGTGAGCTTCTGACGCTCGCGCCGCAACGAGTTCGACGCTACGATCATCTTCAAAATTGCTAGGCGTCCTTGCCTGCGCTTCGTGCCGCAACGTAGCCCGTGTTCGCTTGTTAGAGTGTTTCGAGAGGCACGATCGCTTCAATCGTGCCTTCGAGAGCGTCATAATACAAACTCGGGATGCTTCAACTTGCACTGTGTATAATATAGCTGCGATAATCTGGAGGAGGTTTAGAAAAAAAATTATTTTAATTCATGCAATAATAATTTATGCATATTAATACGTGAAATTTCTTAAAAAGAGTATACTATCTTACAATTTAAATTGTTTACACGACAGATGTAGATAATATAGATTTTTTAAATTTGAAAGTACGTTTTAAATTTTTAAATTTTAAAGGTAGATTTTAATCTCTTGTGCTATTTATGTTTTTATGTTTTAAAGAATACCAATATATAAACATATAAATAATTTTTTATCTCGTATATTTGTACTAAGCAAATGCATTGTGACGTGTGTTGAGCGTGCTCGCAGCGTTCGATGCTTTTTCGCTTTCTTCTAACCAAAACCATGCATATTTATCGTATCCCCGGTTACATTGCATGCAAATTACGGACGACGTTCGGCTCTGCGGCCACGTCTTCTCGTTATTCCGTCCCATTGTCTGCCTACATCCTTTCTTCCTGGGTAAATGCCGTCTCGACGTGGTTCACGTGCGTCGCGCTTGTAGGCCCCCGTCCTGAGTCATCCGATGAATTTTTTCACCCATTTACCGTCTAAAACCATCTACGTACCCGAGATAGTCGCATATTGAGAGGCGACGAGACAACGGCGGAATGAAAGAGAGAATTCGAAAAAGAATATTATGAAAAGATTGCATTGTCAGCTGCTTCATCTCGAAAGCTCTCACTTAAAACCCACGCCTACGACGTGGATGACGCGATGCATGGTTGACTAAAAGATGTCCTGCATTATGTTTCGTCTATACATTCTTTAGCTAATGTGGAGTTTTGAATATTATAGCTTTTTGATTAAATAAACGGTTAAAAAATCGAGGATCTTATTAAATTAAAATCAAAAGGAAAGAAATAACAAAATATTATTTTTTATTTATTTTTAAGTAGATTTAAATTAGAACTGGGTTTCGCTCAAGTGCATGTATGGAAGTTCAATGGTGGTTCAGAGAGTGGTGTTTTCCTGTTTCGAGAAAGGCGATCTGTTTATGTGACGATGTGATTGAAATTCTTCGTCCCAAGAATGTGTGCAAAAAGGTATTAATTAATCGTGAACATGGCCCATTAATGAAGCCTATATCTTTAACCAGGAGAATAACACGAGGGACAGCAAGTCTATAAATAAGATTAATACTTGTTGTTTTCGCGTTTATAAGTTTTTCTTAAAAACCTAAAATATTATAATGATTTCTGATCTTATCGCGAGATACGCTTGGATGTCTTAACACATTCTCGTCTTATAATACAAAAGAGTAAATAAAACAAATTATTAAGGAGTCGCCATCGCTTAAATTCAAAGTTTAATCGCATCATCACATAATCGCAAAATATAACGAGTCTCGAAACTTGAGTCGCGTTTAAACGTGATAAAAGTTTTAAGTAATTTGCAATAAATAACGACGTTGTATCGTGTCGCGCGAAAAGAAAAGATAATAACACGTTACGGACTCGCTCCTTAAATTGGCAAATTTACTACGACCGAGGCGACAAGAACCGCGCGGGTCACGCTTCGCCTACGGAAAAGGGTTTGGGGCTCGATGTGAGTTACGCAAGAGCACGTCAACACTTTGTTCCCTGCGTC